GGCGGGGCCGGCCCGAGTGTGTGGGCGCCGGCCCGGACGGCGAGGGGCGCAGGCCGGTGTGGCGGAGCGAGGGCAGCGCGGCCCGCAGGGGACGGGGCTGCGGCTCCTAAGGTGGCGCTGGGGGGCTGGGAAGTGCCCGGAACCTCCCGCGGGCAGCCGCGGGAAGCTGTAACTGCCCCGAGGTTTCCAGCGGGAGGAGCTGCAGTTCGGGTGCTTCGGGGCCTGTCGGGGCGCGTAAGCATCGCGGTTATGTCCCTGTAGCAGTAACCTGAGGGAATGTACCGAGACGCTCGAGAAAAGGTATAGCTCAATTTTAGAGTAAGGAAAGGTGACATAATAGATGCAAGAAGGTAACCTGAGAAACGTTGAAGTTATTTGTGAACTGAAAAACTAGAAAGGATTGTAACCTCTGGAGGGTAAATGTAAAAACATGAGAAGGCTCGTAAAAAGGAATGTGATGAATGCTTATAGCAAAAAGCTTAAAAACTGATGGTGAATCCAATATGTCATGAGCAGAAACTGCCAGAGAGTCAAGGAACGGTATTAAAAGAAGTACTGATGTTGAGACCATAGCAGTAGTGAAGGTAACTGGGTTCTTCACGTCCGTGTCCTGTGGGAGAAACTGGGGATGTTTCGACATTGCATGTGTTTTTGTGGGAGATGTGTTGGAGGATCTATCTTGACTAATGATTGCAAGAAGAGGTTAAGGAGTAGACAAAATGAACAATAATTTGCTAAAACTGGGTAGTATTTACTTAGTAATTCCTGAGTGACTCAGGAATGTGATGGCTTACCTGTCAATCCTTGCAGAAAACCACTTTATCTGAGGGCTTGGAGGTGGCAAGCATGAATGCCGCTTCTTTTTTAAAGGATCCAGAGAGAAACAGAGGAGCAATCTGACTGTTGTACCAGGCAAACCAGTAAGAACTATTGTAAACAATGTAGCTAGTGGGAAGAGTTGCATGGCTTTTGTTGAAAAAATTCCTATTTGTCAAACTACTATATAATTCTTTGAATATATTGCATAAGGATTCGGTATAGATATGGATAGAACTAGTGCAGTTGACATCTGCATAGTTTCCCAAGAAGTTTTCAACAGTGTTGAGTATCACAGGCCTTTAAAGAAATATTATTAGCTGTAGAATAAAAGGGAGTGTCCTTTGATGGATAAATAGCTGACTAAAAATAAGAATATATGGTCATCTATCACACTGATGGATGAAGAACTTCTGGAATCTTCACGCAGCTTGTTCATATTCAACAATGAAGGTAAAATAAGTAAAATGGAGGTGAATGGTAAGATGAAATTTCTTGGATACACTAAGTCCTCACTCTTACTATAAAAATTACTGTCAAGGCTTGCAGGAGCACCTTATAATATTGATTGACTGATTTTTAAGAAAGATGATGGTCATATAATAGTCAATGAAATCCAGAATAGATATGGGAAGTACTGGAGGAAGAACCACTTAACTTCACATAATTTTATGTATAAAATAAATGTTCTTTAACCTGACTGATGTTCAGGACCAATTTATAGGCCTAGGTAGATTATAACACATTTTCATGAACATGTCAGCTTAACACTCGATAGCAGCTCATAAAAGGTAAAATAAATGTTAGGAATTATTAGGAAAGAAATAAGAAATAAAAACAGGGGAATATCTTTTTGCTACCGTAAAACCTATGCAACGTGAGTATTATTTGCAGTTTAGATCTTTTCCCTGCCTCAGAAATCATGTGGTAGAAAGAGTTTAAAAAGCTTTGAACAAGGCAACAAAGAATAAGTAAAATAGCTTCTACAAAAGGACCAACTATGCATGACTCTGCTTTGGAATGGAAATAACTGAGGAGAAATAAAAAACGGTCAGTGGCATGGGGAATGTGGATTATTGATTCTACTCCAGGAAAAGAAGTAGGAAGCATCAAATTAAGCTGGTAGGGACAGAACTGATTAACTTAGCGTTCCTCATGCCTACCCCTAAGTGAGGTTTGCCATTTTATAGGACCTCTATCTTTTCTCTGCTTAAAAGTCATCCAAAACTAGCCCTAGTCACTAGGCTTTAATTTGTGTTTTCTATGACCTAAAAAGGTATTATGCCCTTCCTCTTCCCCTTAACTGCCTAAATGCGGCAATCTTCCGAAACTAAACGTGAGTTTGTAGGTTTGAGCCCCGCCCCACCCCTCCCAAGTGGAGGGTGGAGACAAACAGGTCTCGAGTGCCCACTCTAACCACTACAGGCCTTGTACACAGAGTGGAAGGAAGCCACCTATCACCTTCAGCTGTCCTCCTAAAGAAGGACCTTGCTTTATCTGTGTAGAAATGACTTAATTTCTTAATTTCAGGACAAAATCCCATCCTCCAAGACTATAGACTGTGAAGGATCAATGGAAGTTGGTACCTACTTACTGTTACTATATGTATGAACACAGAAGAGGGTTATTTCCGCATTTTGCACTGGTTACATTAGTGGCTTTCTCTACATTGCTAACATCTTACTGTGAGAAACTGGATGTCTAGTTTAGGGCTTTGCTTTGGAAGCCACACATCTAAGTATTGTGATATGAGGCATTTTGTGAATTTAACCTTTTCATTAGAGCATTGTGCGCTCTGCTCTTATTTTAAAAAAAAATTCTTTTTTGTGTGGATTATGCCCAGATTGTCTTATTGTCAGTGTGGATGCTTGTGTGGACCTCTTCACTCATAAATAAGTTTTGAAGAGTCATCTTTGTAGTTTGTGTTCTGTTCCAGTATGTCTCATCAGTCTTAATTATGTGTTTAATTTGCAGTAAAGTGAAATGGTTTACCAAATAAAATGCAATTGATGACTTTCATGGAAAAGTTTACTCTTATTTTTGCAAGTAGGAACTAGAATGTTTAGGTCTGTACAACTGTAGGTGGAACCTGTAAGTTTTAAATATGTGCCATTAACTCCTTTTTTTTGTCAGGGTTGATAAAGATAGGAGTGGAATAATATCTGATAACGAACTTCAGCAGGCATTATCTAATGGTAAGTCTGTAAATGAGCAGTGAGATAGTTAATTGTAAGCTTAGTGCTAAATTTTATGAGACTGATTACTTCATGTCAAAATTATTTGGGGGACAAAAAAGTTATTAACAGCTATTAACACCATTTAATCTACAGCAAAAGGCTGAAGGGGGGAGAAAAGTGGACAATCTTCCTTTTTTTGAGCCCATTGTTCTTGGTTTTTGGATTTGGAGGAAAGTTTTTTGGTTTTGATGCATGTAGTGCATTATTATTAACAAGCAGCATTCCTATTCTAAGCATTGATTTGCATTCTGGGGAGAGAAGGCATGCACATCACGCCTTTATTTTCTTCAGCTGTTTCCTTTAAAACATAAAGAATGATTTATAGACCTTGCTCATCACTACTGAACTTGTCAATGTTTTTTTAACCAGGATCAGTGTATAACCTTGAGAAGGATTATATGTTTACATCCAGCCTATGTTACTGCTTGTAAAACCCTTTGGTACGTTTTGGTAGAGGAAAAGAAGATTGATAAGAGTTACTGATGAGCAGTAGGTGGTTTTTGTTTTTTTGTTTTGTTTTTAATGAGGAATAACTAGGTGGGGAGGGGTTATTGGTGGTTTTTTTTCTATTTTTAAGAAGTAGGAAGATGCAGTCCAGATCTAGTATTAAAACTTGGTAGTAGCGTTTCAATTCTCTATCATCCTATAATTACATTTGAAAGGTAACTAGGGTGTGCTCAAGTAACTCATAGAAGCAAACAAAAACAGAAGAATCTTTCCAGTAGGCTTTTTTTCTTCTTCTTTCTCCTGGTGACTTGGACTGTTTGGAGTTGTACTTTGGCCTTTTTTTTTCCTGAGAAATCTGAGAAACTGGACTTTGAAGCTGCTTGCACATCTTGAGTTCATGTCAAGTTCCACTTCTCCAAATGTTTAATTCTCTCATCCTTTCTGCTCATTGTGACTGAGAAAGGCTTAAACTGATATTGTGAGCTGCAGTGCAAACACACTGAAAGCCTCAATTTTTTGTCAGTAATCACCTGGCTTGTAATAAATTCAGATGGATCTATTTGTTAAAAATGTGTTTTTTAAAACTAAAGTAGCCTTATGAGAATGTTTATGTTCAATAGGTTAAAAGCAATGCATCAGTTACCACACTTGATTCCTGAATGAAATACTTTGTTCTGAATAATAACTTCAGCAAAGTTGAAGTTAATACAGTCAGTTTTCATTTGAGATGCCAGTGCTGCTGGTAACAGCCTCATCTGATAATCTTCATTGCTTATTACACAAATGCATTAAATTCTGTCCAAACTTTTATTTCCTTATTTACAGATTAGCAGTTTAAATGGTTGGCAGTTATGACAAATCTGCACCAAATTAATTTGCTATTAGGCAAAATGTTTACAGAACTACTAATTAACTTGATTTTCCAGTTTTCCTTTATTCCAAAAGATTCTGTATCTTATACACCAAAGTCATTAACAACGCATTATATTCTTTTCCAAATATGTAGTCTAGCAAATGGTTGTGCATAGCTGTTGTGCAATCTTACATGGGCTAAAAGAATATTAATGCATTTATTTCTAAAACCTTAAAAAAGAATGCATGACTGTCATTACAAACTAAAGTTAGATTTTAGTGTTTTTGACATCCAGCTTTTCAAAATGCCAAATTTATGTAAATAACAATATACTTATCTGGAGACTGGGACTGATCACCACTTTGTACAGTTGTTGGCACAATAAAATCCTATGCTTCCTTGTTTTTCTGCCCTGCCATATAAAATTAATAGTAAGAGTCAGGGGAGGCAGAGGGAGCAGTCCTTTAAGTTTATTAGAACAAACTGAAACTGGTGCAGTTCTTCGGCACTGGAGTTGGTCTGCTTTATGGAATCTGTATTAATCTGTATTATGGAATCTATATTGAAAACGTCAATAGGAAATTAATTATCTTTCAAACTCTATTCTTTCTTTTTCCTCTATTCTGTTGAGAGTTACATGCTGACACCCTGTTAATAATTCCATTATTTCTGATCCTTATCAGGAGACATACAACTCTAAGGTATTGTTATTCTCTGTCTAAAATAATGATGTTTCTCATGCATTTTCAGAGCTACTTTTATTCTTCTTTCTTTGCTAACTCAGACCTTATATTTCTCTTTATGTGCAAATAGTCGTATAGCCTGTCTACAGTACAGGTTTTTCCCCTTTTTGCAGTGTAGATTTACACTGATACAGTTTCCTGTTATAGGAGAAATTCAGCGTTGGTATAAGCACAACTTAACCACTGCCTCTTGATTCACCAAAGCAGCCATATTTTTGCAAAGCCTGCTTCATACCAGTGCATTAGGTGTTTGTGATCAGCAACTGCATCATTGCAAACATCTCTACAGTACCCGTGGTCTTATTAGCTGTTTCATGTTCCCTGTGTTTAACCTCAGTGAACTTAATACAAAGCTTTGGAACCTTTTGGAACTTTCACAGACTCTGGTGAAGTAGCGGTGAGATTCTACATGAGAAGCAGAATGTCTTAATTTACTGCTTAACATTTCTTAGTACTATGGAATTCTTCCAAGCTGGTGGAAACTAGTCCAACACGAGTAGCTGCTTTCAAAATTCAAGAACAGGTATTCAGAGAAGTATAAAGCTCTTCCTCAGATGACTACTGCTCAGGTGCTTTTAAGTACCAATATTTCTTCCTGGTCTGAAAATAATAATTTGAACTAACGCTTCATTGATTTAGCAGCAGAGGTGGGATTTATACTAAACAACTAGAAATGGCATTGGGTAATTTTTGCCATGTTAGGAACTCTTTTTTTCCAGTTCTGTCAGAAATTAAATGCCCTGGAGTAATCCACCTGCAAAATAATAAATAAGCAGATGTCCTTACTGAAGAATAGATAAAAGACCTTGTTTGATTTATACCTAAAACTCGTCTGCTACAATCAGTGGAAGAACTGGGGCTGTTTTGTGGGGGTTTTGTTTGTTTGTTTTTTAAGTGCAGCCTGAAGAAATTATTTTGGTTTCGATGTAAAGCCTGTATACCGTTGGTCAGAAGTCATCCCGGAAGAGTGAATAGCTTAGTTACTTCAAAGCAGCCTTGTTTTAATCATATGCTAGCTCCATGTCATCTAGCTCTGAATTCACTTATATGAGTTCTGATCTTTTTCTTCGTTTTCATTGTTGTTCGGTTGAAATTTTTAAGTGTTACTTAGTATTGAGGAACTAATTAGTTCTTTCTTTTTCAGGCACATGGACTCCTTTTAATCCAGCAACAGTCCGGTCAATTCTTGGTGAGTGTAATTGTGTTGTATGAAATGTTTAGGATATTGTTATTTTATGATTTGTTCAGGTGGTTGAGAACTCCACCTATTGTTGCATTGCTCTTGACAAATAGTTATGTATTGAATTGTATAATAAATGCCTGTTTCAGGGCCTTTTGAAAGAATTTAGTTGGTCATAGTATTAATAAGCTGATCTTTCGTTATAAGACAGTACTTTTCCTTTCTGCAGACAGCCTAAGAGTAATAAAATAAAATATTGGTCGTTTTGAAAAACAGAAATGTATTCCTTTTGTGTATAAATATATGCATTTGTCAAAGTAACCCGAGCAAATATTACAAGACAACTGAATAGATAACAAACGCAATAAGAGTATAGGGAATTGTTGGCTTTAAATATTTAAAGCTAACATTACACAGCTTGCCTTAACTAATTTTTCATACTGTATTTTAATCCTGTGTTATTCTCCCAAAAGACAAAAGAGAGGCTTTACTATGCTTGAAATTTTTTTAATGCACCTTACAATACATTCCACTGATGTGGAAGGTGACAGTGGTAGAACAGAAAGGAGAAAAATTCAAGCACAATCTTCTCTATCATACTGCTTATAAATCTAAGAAATA